AAACACATTGGATGTTGATTCTATGAAAACCATCTTCAGATACTCTGGCAAATAGCCATGAGCGTATTTCTTTTTTTGAGACATGGGCTCACAATATTTCACAATATTTTGTTTGAAGCTGTAGGCACGTGCTCACTGTCACAAATCTAACTGCGTACTGACCAGTGTGACCGCAAACAAAAGAGCCTGTGCCATGTATCATCGTCTGCGCATGCCTCTCGCGCATCATGGATTGGGTTTGGGGTCGCCGGCTACCAGCTCTGCTTGTCTGTTACAGCTGGGTGGTGTGCGGGGAGATGCGCGAGCTATTCTGGGATGAGGCTCTTTTGTTTGAGGTCACACTATAGCGCCATTTAGTTTCACTTATGTAACATGAACTAAATTATGCACAGGCGATACAAATAGTATATTTTCAGAAATTTAAATTGTCATGGGGAATTTTATGAAAACCTAATGAAAATGTTTTTAAATAATGCTATGAAATTTTTTTAAAAAGTCAATTAAATTAAAAAAAAGGAAAGTGCTTCAGTATCGGACAAAACCCCTTCCGCCCACCATGAAAGCTGGAACGCCCACTAATGGGCGGTAGGGACCAGGTTGACTACCACTGGTGTACACTATCTGTCCATCTCTGTGTATGTATTAATCTCACCACAGTCATTATATTGAAATAATCTAATTATTGTTTCATTCCTAAAAGAAAAAAATATGGCTTCAAATGAATATTGATTTTAAAATCCTCTGCTTGTACTTATGTATTTGAATCCTATTTTTGTTTTACATGCATGATAAAATGTCCTTTCATATTGTTCATATTTCCAACATACACTTGAAGTGCTTTTATACATTCTAGATAATTTCTCTGGCATCATGTACTAATGACATATCATTTTATAAAAATTATTTTTGAGATCATAACACAAGGTAAATTTCAATACTTTTAACCACATACTTTCCATATATCCATCTGCATATTATAACCAAAATTCTTAGCACACATAACCATACATTATTTAATATTCTCTGAGGGAAATAGGTGGTTCCAAAATGTGAAAATGAATAAAAAACCAAAAAAAACCCCTCCTTTTTAACAAATTTTAACTCTGTATTTTAGGAATTACATGTTCATCATCAATACACTATTTTATCTCAAATTCTGACTTACTTTGTTCCATACCATGTCTTTTTAACAATTTTAAATCTTTCAGATAAGTGTAAATGGGAAAGCTATTGACAACTATATCCTTCATTGTTCCCCTGATTTGATTTTAACTCCTGATAATTTTCAGTAGGCCCAAGTATGTAAACCATTTATCTTTCATTTCTCTTATATAATATACTTCTTGAGCTAGGATCCTTAAAGGTGTTTTGGGTTTATAAACCCAACCTGGGTTCATATTCTCAATATGGCACATGTAGTAAAATGATTAAAGTCTTAGCATTAATTTCATAAATGCCATAATACCATAAATATCCATGCCATCAAATCATGATCTTCTAAATGTAAGTTTCTTGTTTCTCAGCAACATCCACATCCACATCCAACATCCAGACCATCATCCAAAGAATAAGTAACAAAATACAGTTTGTGGTAAAGCAAATCCCCCCTTTTTGAGATATATAATAAACCCATTTAATAAAATTATCTCCAAGATTCATATATTCCAGAACTCTAAACAGCAACAAAAAAAAACCCCACTTCAAGTTGACAAAATCTTTCGCAGAATCTACTAACATCAGTGCAATTTCTTGGTCATTATGTTGCTCCAGGATATTCAAAACATTTCTAATATTATCTCATAGTTGTCTTTTAGGTAAAAACCCACATTGATCTTCAGGAATAAGATCCTGTAAAATTATTTTCAACCTTTTAGCCAAAATTGTGGTAAACAGTTTGTAATGATTGTTCAATTTTCTTAGCGATATTTTGGTGTTCCATCTCTTTCCTAAGTTATTTCTTTGACTAACATTTCTCTTCTACCACTCAGGTCTAGAGTAAGGTGACCAGACGTCCCGCTTTTGGCGGGACAGTCCCGCTTTTGAGCAATTTGTCCCGCGTCCCGCGGCGTTTTAAAAAAGTCCCGATTTTTCATTCTGCCTCCTGAATCCCCGCTGCTGGCTAGAGGGAAAAAACCTGTTTAAACTCTTGCCGCGGGGCTTCAAAGGGCCGCCCTACGTTGATTAGCTCGGCTTCCCCCTCTCAGCTGATTTGCGCAGGGCTCTGCTCTTCCTAAATTGCTCCAGCAGGTTTTTTTTTTCTCTTTGTGCAAACCAAGCTCAAAACGAAAGTGAAACTGGCTGTTGGCTTTGCTGTTTGCTTGCAACGTTGGAAAATTAGGCAGCAGATTTATTTTCCTTTTCCTCACCAAAAAAGGTAGGTGTAAACAATGGGAAATTATTTAGGGCAAAAGAGGAGAGTTCAAGATTTTAAAACACAAAAGAAAAAAAAGCTCTTTTTAACTAGGGAATTGTAATAATTGAGATACCATTAATTGTATACTGTGTTGAAAGCAGAAATGGTTAAGTTGTGGTTTGGAGGAATATATGGGGGAAATTATTTGGTTTATTATTATTGGTAAGTATAATTAATTGATTTGTAAGAAATTGGATTGCATGGAAATAATTGGAATATTCATGTTGATTAATATACAAAAAGGTAGTTATATAACTAATTGATTTATATTAAAATGTTGAATTTGTATTAAACAACTGTATTACATAATTACATAATTAAACAATGTGAGGATGGATATAAAAATAGATGACAATGGGAAGGGGTATAAAATAGAATAGAAGGGAAAAATTGAATTTGATTAAGATTAGAGATGAGGATGAAGGGTAATATTGTTTTTTTAAAAAAATAGATGAGGAATAAATATGGCAAAAAGGAAATATAGAAATTGTAAATTTAATTGAAATGACTAAACACTGTTTAAATTTGTGAACCAGCCAAATATTCTGTTCAAAGAAAATACATTGTATGTTTGTATGTGTGTTTCTAATTATTGCTATTTATTCATATTTGTTCTCTTTTATTCTTTAAAGTTTAACAATTCATTCTTTATCTTAATATCTTTATATTTGTTTGGGGTTGGCTTTCTTCCCTTTCATCTTTTTTATTGTACAGCAATCTTTCTCCTCAAACCTACCACCTCTCTTTTCTTTCCTTCTTACTTTCTCTTCCCCCCACCCTCTTTTTCTCCTCCCTACTTCCTCTTCCTTTCTCCTTCTCCTCTCTTCCTCCCTCTCTTAACCGTCACTCCTACTCTAATTTCCCTTCCCTTCCTTCATCCCTTTCTATTACTGTATCCTTTTATGCATATGGACTACTCAGAGGGCTGAAAAAGTTATTTTTGACTGGTCCTCGCACTTTTGACCAGTCCTCGAACTTACGACTGTCCTCACATTTTACATTTTTGCCCTATCTTGTCATCATGGTGAAGAGAAGCAGTTGTGAAATGAGTGACATGGTTGTAAAGAATGCTGCACGGGCATAAATGTGAGGATGGTCATAAGTGTGAGGACCAGTCAAAAGTGCGAGGACCTGTCAGAAATGACTTTTTTCAGCCCTCTGGTTAGTCCTTTTGTGCATATGGACTACTCAGAGGGCTGAAAAAGTTATTTTTGACTGGTCCTGGCACTTTTGACCAGTCCTCGAACTTACGACTGTCCTCACATTTTACGTTTTTTGCCCTATCTTGTCACCATGGTGAAGAGAAGCATTGTGAAATGAGTGACATGGTTGTTAAGAATGCTGCACGGGCATAAATGTGAGGATGGTCATAAGTGTGAGGACCAGTCAAAAGTGTGAGGACCTGTCAGAAATGACTTTCCAGCCCTCTGAGTAGTCCCTATACACATAGCCATGGCCACCCGGTCACATGACCAGCTAGCCACGCCCACCCAGTCACATGGCCTCCAAGCCATGCCCACACAATAAGCCACGCCCACAATGGTGTCCCTCTTACCAATGTTAAAATCTGTTCACCTTACCCCTATACACATAGCCATGGCCACCCGGTCACATGACCAGCTAGCCACGCCCACCCAGTCACATGACCAGCTAGCCACGCCCACAAAATAAGCCACGCCCGCAATGTCCCTCTTTACCAATGTTAAAATCTGGTCACCTTAGTCTAGAGTGTTGAGTATGATTCTTCAATAATGTTTTTTTTTTAACTTTAAGGGAAAAATAATGAGAAACTTTAGGAAAGCTACAGAAGCAAAATGCTTACTTATTAAGCCACAACTAATTAATTGTTGCATTGTAAGAAACTCAGTTTAGTTTAAGTTTCAGAATTATAATTTATTTAACACTGCCATTTAAGAAAGAAAAGGCTGTAAGATTTAGGATAAGGCAGGGATATTGTCCCCTGAAAGTTTTAATTGTCATCTGTGAAATGGCAGCACGAGGGTTTTTTTTGGGGGGGGGAGACATAAACATAAAATGAAAATAAAATAAAAATCACATTAACACGTCTATTGCAAACTTTCATGTCCAAACCAAAGAAAAAAATGGAAAATGCAGTTTAATGTATCTGTGTGATGCAATTCCATCTACTGTGCATCTTAGAAACATACATACTAATTTGTATACCATTCAAAAATATTATGATTAAATAAGTGCCCCCAAATATATTAATATTTATTCCCAAACATTCTTAAATATTTAATAGACATTCTTAGCACCACTTCTATGGTGTGCCATTTGCCCCATTTCTCCAATATGTTACAATAAATGTGAGAATAAATGGATCTTTCTTAGTAGCCACATACTTAAAGGAATAATTAAAATTGTAAGAGTAAGCTCAAATTTTGTCATTAATGTTGAATAGTGCCCATGTTTTACCAGAGTCCTCTATTTTACCATAAACTATCTTTAAGAAAAATTAAAATTAAGTCCCCAAACTGGACCATAATATATCTTTTAATAATCCTAACAGAGAGAAAGCTGGAAACAAAACAAAACATATCACTGTTGATTTTGGAAAAGACAGGCACAGCCATACACCTCTGTGTATAAACGATTCAGCTGTGGAGTGGTTATTAGCTTCAAATTTCTGGGTGTCCAGTTGATGAGCAAGTTAGCTTGGTTGCTCCACAGGGAGACACAGGTGAAGTGGGCACAGCAGCGGCTGCATTGTTGTATGAGAAAAGCACACTATCCTTCCCTGTCCTTACCACTTTCTATAGAGGGACTATTGAAAGCATCCTGTCATATTGTGTCTTGGTTGGAAGTATTTCTGTTTTGGACAGGAAAGCTGTGGAGAGAGTGATAAGAACAGCAAAAAAGATTATTGAATGTGTATTTCCTTCTATCAAGGAAATAGCATATAAATGATGCTTGAACAGGATTTGCAGTATTGTCAGGGAAACTTAACATCCTCTCTTTGCCTGGTTTTCTTTGTTACCTTTGGTAACACACACACGCACACGCACACATTTTATACTTTTAATGTGTGCCAGTGAGTTCACAGAAAAAAATGACAAGGTTATCTTAAGTGAGAATTTATGTGGGTCAATTAATATTTGTCGGCTTTGGAATAGGAAATGAGTTAGAGGAATATGAGGTTAGAGTTTCAAAATTGTTCCGAGGGCTTTGCTAGGGAAAAAGTAGTGGAATATGTGGGAGAAAATACTACAGATAAAATGGGAGAAAAGTAGAAGAAGTATGTAAAGTGTCTTTTTTTTCAGTGAAAGGAAAATACCAAAGGTCGTCTTCTTGCTTTGTCACAAATACTTGAAAGGTCCCACTGAGTACATACAATTCAGTAATCAAATGACATTAGGATAATTGGATGGGTCCTCAAATATTAACTGTTTCAAAAATGTTAAGATTTGTTTGAATATAAAAAGCAAATTTTCAGGTAAATGGCTTTGAAAACATGACTTAGATTTCATTTCCACTGGGCAAGGTGAAATCTAAAAAGAATTCACAAAGAAGAAATGCAAAAACAAATCAATCTTAGATTATTTTTGAGGTTGTGAATCTATCCATGCTGATCCCCAAATCTTGCAACACAAAAGTAGTCCTTGAATTTGAAACAAATGATTAAGTAACCTTGGATATAGAACAAAAAGATTAGCAAGGAAGGCTGAAAGGAGTTCAGGTAGTCCAAATAGTCCAAAATTTATGTTTATTATTTATTTATTAGTTATATTTCTATGCCGCCCACTCTCCGAGGACTCTGGCGGCTTACACCAAAGACAGTATACTAAATAGCATATTTCCCCCATACCCTCTGGAATGAGCTGCCCCTGGAGATACGGCGGATCCCGGATCTACACACCTTTCGCTGTGCCCTAAAGACGTTTTTATTCCAACAAGCCGGGCTGGCCTAACTTTTAAAAATTGTTTTAATTTTTAAACTGTTTAATTATGGGTTTTAATACAGGGGTACTTTTAATTGTGGGCCAAATTAATTTAATCGGATTTTAATACTGTTTTTAAATTTTGTGTTTCTTGTGTGATATCTGTTGGCTGTTCACCGCCCTGAGTCCTTCGGGAGAAGGGCGGTATATAAATATAAACAATAAATTAAATAAATAAATAAATAACAATCTGGGTCCTCATTTTACCCACCTCGGAAAGATGGAAGGCTGAGTCAACCTTGAGCTGGTGAGATTTGATCCGCTGATCTGCTGAACTAGCAGTCAGCTGAAGTAGCTGCAGTACTGCACTCTAACCACTGTGCCACCTTGTTGCTAAGTGACACATTTGTTAAGTGACATATTCCCCCATTTTATGACCTTTGTTGCCACAGTTGTTAAGTTAGTAACATGGTTGTTAAGTGAATCTGGCTTCCCCATTGACTCTGTCAGAAGCTCGCAAAACTTGATCACATGACTCCAGGACACTGCAACCATCCTAAACAAGAACAAGTTGCCAAGCATCTGAATTTTGATGACGTGACCAAGAGGATGCTGGATGGTTGTAAGTGGGAAAAATGGTCACAAGTCACTTTTTCCAGGGTCATTGTAACTTTGGTCACTAAATGAACTGTTGTAAGTTGAAGACTACTTGTATTTAAATATTTTGTTTGCAATTTGTTTATTAAAACTATGTCCTGCTGCAATTTAACAATTCTCTTGCTAGTTTTAAGTGAGTATGGTAGAAGCCAGTAGTTGGTTTCAATTTTGTTCGCTACCAATTTGCTCATGGGCGCGTACATGTGCGTGACGCTTCTGTGCATGCACAGAGACATCCGGGCGGGTGGGCGGAGCCTTCCGCTGCCACTGCTACCGGTTTGCCTGATCTCAGGCAAACCGGTAGCAACCCACCACTGGTAGAAGCCAAGTATTTGGATCTTAGTAAATATGCAGAATAAAAAGCTTTGTGAAAGTGTTCAGATGATCAACTATTTATCAGATCTTCTTTGCAATATTTCAGGGTTGGCCCACATCTGTGGTGTAATTGATATAAAGTCACTTTTTTCAGTGATGTTGTAACTTTGAACAGTCACTAAAGGAACTGTTGTAAATCCAGGGCTACCTGTACCAGATTTATGCTGTTTTCTTTTTCCACTGAGCTTGTGTCTTTTATACTGTAAAGCTGATAAAAACTATTCCTTGACCATCTCCAATGAAGAAATGATCCCCTTCCACATTTTTGATAATTTCTCCAACATTTAGAAAGAGAATTTTGCTATATATGTGTCACACTAACAGAAGTAAAATGCCAACGATGTATAATCTTCCAGTGCAGTTCTTACATTGAAGCTGAAGTGAATGCGGTTGTTTTCCATAATTTCTGCCAATTGTTTTCTGTATGGGATTACAGTATCAGTATCCCAAGTTTCCTTTAAACCACCTAAACCTAAAATACTTTCTTTTATTCTGCAGCTCAATGCAGCATTCTTATCTGATCTTCATTTTGTAGTTGACCCTGCTTTTTACAGTTCCAAGTACAAGTCATAGATTGCTTCCTTCATAGCAATAGCACTATAGCACTTAGACTTACTGCTTCATAATGCTTTACAGCCGTCCCGAAGTGGTTTACAGAGTCAGCATATTGTCCCCAACAATCTGGGTCCTCATTTTACCAACCTTGGAAGGATGGAAGGCTGAACCAACCTTGAGCTGATCAGGATCGAACTCCTGGCAGTGAGCAATAAATTAGCTTGCAATACTACATTCTAACCACTGTGCCACCAGCGCTCATACCCTGTTAGAGAGTTCGGCCAACAACATATGCATGTCAGTCAAAGTAGAAACAATTAATTTGAAAGGAATCTCAACTTTTATTAAATCTAATTCTGGATATGTTTTTGGTCAGCAGTTTGAATTTTTTCTCCACTTCAATGTAGCTACACCGATATCTTGGCAAATATTCTCTTACCTCCTCCAGTTCATGAGATTTTTCTCATAATTTTATCTTTTACATTTGGATTTAGAAACCTAACCATAATGTGTCTAGGTTTCCATATGTTTCTAGGAGGGCATGTTCAGTATCTTTATGGGTTAAGTCAAATCAATGTTCCATTAATTTTAGAAATGAAATAAGTAGTCTGATTCCTTGCTCCAGTTTTCTCTGACAGACACCCTTTGATCCATAACTTATTTCCCCTGCTATGATCTTATAAATCTGCCAATTCAACTTTTATTTCAGAAATATTCTTTTGAGCTTTGTCTATTGCTTAGATATTTGTAGCCGTATCATAAGCTTTGCTGGCAGCCTGGGCTATATCTGCTGTTTCTCATAGCATTTTCTTAAGGTTTTTGAATTGCTCAGACATGGTTGTCAAAACTTTAGTTACTCCCACAGCAATGGGATAAATTGTCTTCATTTGTTTTAAAGTTGTATTAATTGTTTAATTACTTTTATATTAGATGTCTTATCTGTGTCTGCGCACAATGCTTTCTTCTCCTACTGCCTCTTCTTCATTACTGGAAACAGGTACATACCAAATAAACTTCGATCCCTTTCCCTTTTTGTAGTTTCCTTCCTTAACATCCTGCTTAAATTATTTCAATATTTGGTAAGATAGTTAATAAGGTAAACTGGCTATATTAGATAAATACTTAGCAGAGAGCGCACTATCCTCTGCCTATGGTTAGCCTCATCCCCTATTATTACATAAGAATGTATAAGTTGCTGGAGATCACCAACTGAGGTGCAAATAGTCAGAAACAAAGCAGGATGAAACATCTCCACCCTTCCCTGAATTTATACTCTGGAACATAGACGTACACAAAAATTTTGACTGGCAAATCATAATTTGTGTTTATGGCCTATGTTAAAGTCTAATCTAACTTGGGTGTTTAAGACATTTCTGAAAAGCATGCAATTCTGAATATGGAATAAAGTGCCTTCAAAGCCAAGAATTACTGCCAAGACGTGGTGTAAAAATGGATATTACATCCAGCAACCAACTTTCAATTTCAAAACAGCCCATAATTCAAACACAGTTTATTCAGTTTAGGAATATTTTGGCCAGTATTCCATAAACATGACCAGAGTGAAGCTTTTACTCAAGCATTTCTATCTAAACTGGATCTTTAATCTAAAGATTAGTTTGTAAGCCAACAAAGTATTTCTTTGGTCCCATCAACTAGGAGGTCTCTGCAGTGAATTGATGAGCTCAGGCTAGAGTGTATTGACCTAGAATATTAAGAAACAAAGGTTTAAAAAAGGGCTTGTCATTGTTTTGTTTTCTTCAAAAATATTTATCATATAGAACTATTTAAAACATTTCCCTCTGTCCCCCCCCCCCCAAGAGTTTAAAGCAGCTTAAGGGCACATAAAATCAGTGTTGAAGGGGATATATAGGCCATTAAGTCTGAGCTCCTGCTTAGTGCAGTTATAATTTGAAACATCCCTGGCTATCTAGCATCTGCTTGAACGTATCCAGTGAACAGCCCCCACCAGTACATCTTTTAGTCAGTTAATTCCACTGTCACAATGATCTTGCTATTAGTATTTTTCGCTTAAATGTCAGTCAGAATCTGTCTTCCTTAAACTGTTAGTTAATTCTTGCCATGCATTCTTCCATGAGAGAAAAATTGCAAAAAATGTAATAAAAAGCTATAATTTAGTTATAAAAAAAGAAAGATAATGCAAGACCTATAAAATAATATAATATTTTACTACACCCAACTAATTAAACTGGAAAGGAAGGCTGGTCAAATTGTAAAAGTAAGTTGACCATCTCTTTCTAAATAGAAAATGTTAAACCATATAAAAGTCCAAATAAGCAAGTGGAATAATGGTTCTTTTTCCAAAGGAAGTTCCAAAATAGCATGGAAAGAGAAACATTTTTGC